TACAGGAAAAATGTCCAAGGAGGTTTTTATTGAAGCCCTACAAGTATCTTTTCAAAAAAAAAAAAAAAATGCAGTGTTCTAAAACTAAGAATTTACCCAAGACTTTAGAGCAAAGCAGGAACTAACTCGTTCTAGCAAAATGTTAGATTTAGGTGATCAGGCAGTGATATTATATGCTAGAACAAAAATGAGTACTTTATCTTCTACATTCTAAGTAAATGAAGGAGGAAGGAAAGAGAATCTTGGGCCTCTACTTGAGAACAGACAAAAACCAATTCAAAATAAATCCTAAGTTCAGTGTAAAAGCTAAAACTAAGAAAAATGTGAATATATTTGGCATATTCAGACACTAAAAATGCTAAACATAAAGGAAGAACTAATAAATTAGATTTTTACCCAAAACCAGAGCTTAAATGTCTGCTTATTAGAAGATTTCATTAACAAAATGAAAAGACAAACCACAGAGTAAGAACATGTATTAGCAACATACATACCTAACAAAAGGATTTGAATCCAGATTATAATTATCTGTGGACAGGGGTTATAGCTCATGGCATAGCGCCTGCCTGGCAGGTACAAGGTTCAGGGTTTGATTCCTCGTACCAACAAAAAGAAAATTTTTTTATCTCAAGAAAATACACTGATTTCTTTAGTGGGCAAAAGATGCAGATGCTTCTTAGAAGATGGAGTGGCTGCTAAAACCAGGAAAAGCTCTTCACTACAAGGTGTCTTCCAGGAAGTTCACATAGAGCCACCTGAGAGAGGGCACCACACACCAGTGACTAGCACGAGCGCGCGGGGTGTCGGCGGAGTGGGAGGTGGAGGTGGACACACGCCTTTTTATAGGTTAGCTCTGTTTTACAGAGTCCTTAAATAAGGAAAGAACCTAATGGATGAAGGGATATGACGGAGCAGTTCATAGGAAGAGAACAGGAATAGCCAGTAAATGTAGGCAAAAGTATTTCAACATTAGTAAATTAGGAAATGAAAACTAGAGTAATAAATAATATGTTTTGTTCACATGCTTGACAACGTAATTTTTTTGAGATCTTTATAATTCTTTTTTTTATTTTTTTGTATTTTTTCCATAATTTTATTGAGAAACAAATAGCAATGAGACAGTTTCAAAACAAATTG